CTAATGAGTCCCCTGAAGGCTTGCAGATATGTCCGATAGTCTTAGACTTGGCAAGATGGCAGTATTGTGCAAGCTGGGGGGAGGGTGGCTGCTGGGGAACAGATAGCATAACTTCATATTTAAGATAGCGTTTAAGAACCACACTATAGGTTCTCCTGAAAACAGTAGTTAGGTACAACCATCGGCCAGCGGTGCCTGTGTATTTTAGCCTCGCTTCTGTTAGTGTGTCCCAGGACAGCTGTGGCTACAATGTAGCTCATCACCATCAATGTGTAAATGTGTGTGTGAATTAATAAATGGCTGTTGTGTTGTAAAGCACCTTGGGAGGCAGTAGGACTCTAAAGGATCTATGTAAATATAGGATATTTACCTTGGAAAACACAAAATACCTCTGTCAATTTTATAGACAATGAGCTAAGAATTGCTTTTTTACTAGCTGAAACTCTTCCAAATACTGATTGATTGCCAAATATATATATATATATATATATATATATATATATATATATATATATATATATATATATATATATATATATATATATATATATATATTCAATTCAAACATTTGCAAGAGTTTATTTTTCTTGGGTTTTTTGTTCGCATTGTTAGTATCTTGGCAAAAACTTAGATGTACAGCATTGAACTCCATAGCGCCATCTGGTGGGGCCTGGGCCCACTGGCCCCAGATGCTTAGAGGCCATTGCGAGGAGCCTTCGCATTTGGACAGCCTCAGTCACATTGCTGTGACGTGAGCAGCTTTCAAATGCATCCTTCGACGGATCCAGCCCCTGAATTTAGTCACAGCCCAAAATTCAGTTTAAAAATGTGATGTGAAATTGATGGTGGTGTGAAGTTTTATAACATGTTTGTTTGAATGAATTGTTTTGATTGTTATGCTGAAATAACAGTTACAGTGGAAACCAGTTTAAACCCCCCACTGGAATGTCCGGTTTCCATGATAACATCATGTTTGACATATTTTTTTCCAATTTGATGTTTCTGTGTAACTTCCTATGGTGGAATTTGACCAAAGTCTTTTATCTTGATGGACCATTAAACAGTCGAAAGGTGATGATCCATTTGAAACTCTGATACTTTTATAAAATATTTTGTTTTTTTAACGGAAAATTAACCATTTTGTGTTTAGTTGGCTGGTTTCTAAGTTGGAAAATAATTCAATAGCCATTGTAAAAGGTCAAAACTATAGAGGGCAGAGGTGGATAGTGATGGAGAATTTCCCTAACCATGACCAGATCATGAATTGGACACACTTTCTTCTTTTTCCAGGAATAGCGGAAAGCAAAGATTTCGTGATCCCTCATTCTCAGAGCGACCAAGATTCTCAGTATAGATGACCCATTCGAGCTGGGTGACTGAAACAGAAACTCAATCTAATGCCTCATTTCCTCCCCGAGATGAGACAAGCTTTATGGCTTGACCTCTTCCAACAAGATCTCTTCCTTTCCACACTAGCCAAGTTGTAATCTCACACATCACTGTCTCACTTCATCCAAAAATAATATCAAACACATTAGTACAAGCAAAGGCCTGGAAAATCCAATTTGAAAATCATACTGTGAGCTCATAGACTAGATCATTCCATATTTGGGGTGTCAAGTATGGTTTCATTAGACATTTATCTTTGATGAAGGAAATGTCACACAGGAACTAGGCGAAAACACCAAGCAAGTCAGGTAAAATGTGAATCGATTTTAGGTAATTCACAAAACTTTATCAGACCTTGTAAACTATGTTTACTCCTAACCTTAAATTTTATTTTCACAGCAGTTAATAACCATCACAGCCATAGACCCCAGGAACCTGAGTCTAGTCTGAATTATCAAACATTAAATGGTATCCAATGAAGCTTTTGCAGGCATGACAATACCATGCTATTTGGATGTTCATACTTTTATTAAGAGTGGGAGCCTCTAACGTTGATACTTCACCAGATCAGCACATTCATCAAATACTAAAAGTCTTGGACAGACATGCATGGGAACCAGATGGTTATGACAACCAGTGTATTAAGTATTAAAAACTCGAATTGCTATTTGCCTGTTAAAAGCTGAATATAGGATACTTTAATAAAAGCCATATTTAAAACAAATAATTCCATGGGGTGTTTAGAGGTTTTTAAAAGCTATATTTTAATTTAAAAAATAATCAAACATTTATTTTGACAGCACAACACTGGGTTTATGTTTACATTTAGCAGGCTACAAAGGGCACCATTGCAGTTTGCCTTGCACAGCGAGGCTGGCACCGTGGAAAATGGTGGACTCAGCAAACCGAGCAGCAGCTTCTGAGCCCAGAAGATCTCTCATGGTTCACTCACACGCTGCTCCAAGTTGCAAATCAAGCACACCTCCCATTACAGTGTTGCCAACTTAGCAACTTTGTAATTTAAATAACAATATTTCAGACTCTTTTTGTGACTTATAATTTTATTTTATTTTTTTACCAAAAGTGCCTCGCAAACAACTCAACATTTCTGATGGTCCTTAGCTACTTTTTGTATAACTTTGTAGTCGATATTCCCTGTACATGCAAAATTCCCAGCCTGCACTCCAGTGAGCAGCCCTTGCAACCACGAGACACTTCTACTTATGGTATGTGTTTACCATGGTGACCCTAATGATCCACTTGCATCAGCTTTAACATTTATGTTGATCTTCGTTTTTTTAAGTTCCATTTATTCTAATGTTGTATGTCAGAATATGCTGTTTGATTAAACATAAGTCACATTACTATTGGAATGTAATGTTAAGGCGAAGGCTAAAGTAGGCTTCTACGTTATTTATGGTCTCATGTTTGTAACACACTCTTTCCAGACAGCAAGCTATCAGTCTGTGGCTTTAAGTTAAAATCTAAATAGCTTCCTGTTTTTGCAGCTTTGCGCAAGTTAAATATGAACTGATGATGACTCAGGTCCCATGAGTTTTATCCAATTTATGACCAAATAAGCTTTCCTAATTAGCACATCCATTCACTGTTCTATGCTATCATTAGCATGTTAGCAGAATTATAGCCTGGCAGCTTAAGTTATTTGCGGATCTTCAGCCCGTTTCCTTTTGTAGAGGTCAATGAAAATAGAGTAAACCTGTAATCATTTATAACCTAAGGAATTTCAAACATTGTTGACAATTCTATTATGTGTAAAAACATAAATATATAATTAAAAAATTATCACAATGAAAATCTGGAAAAATACAAAGCTAGTGTTTATTACAATTGTGCTGCCTTTGCACATTAGCTGCAAGTATAAATGAAAGAGAAGTTGAAATGGTCCTCTAACCATGCACAAGTAATTACTCAGACAGAATGTGTAGTAGACCTTTACTCGAGCTGATATTTTTCATGTGAGTACTCTATGAAAAGGCTAATGAGCCCCACAGTGTCAGCAGATGGTATACTGGCCAAAAACTTTTAATTTGACACTTCCTAGTGTCTATCACAAAAGCTAAAAGAGACAAAGCGAGCCTGCAGCTCCTAAAGCCCTCAGGGTGACTGTCAGTGTTCAAAACAGCAGCAGCAGCAGCCAGTAATGTGGTGTCACTCCTGCTCAGCAGGCTTGAAACAAATGGGTTATTTAGAGCCTACTTCATTTGCACTTGTGGAGAGAGGGCCGAGAGGAAATGAGGAGCCCAACGGTTCGGTGTTAGATGTATTTAATGAGCCAATTCACTCTCTGCTTTGCTGCCTCTCTGGGTGCAATACCTCTGTGTTTTTAAAAGTAATTGTCACTTGCTGCATCAGCATTCAGCAGATCCATGCAAGACATTTTCACCTCATTCCTACCAAAGGCCTGCAAAAATAGACACGCAGGCTGATGCAACACTTTTAAAAGATAGCCTGTTTAAACTAGATGCTGTGTTCACAGAGCATGAAGAAGAGCCATAACGCACCATTTACTTTACTCAGCTGACTGGACTCCAAGGTTTGTTGTGCTGGTAAATGAGTTAACTCATCTAGATTTACTGATCTATGCATCATAAAAGTATTTACAATGAAAGCAAGACATAATTCTTGCAGAAACAAGGTCAACAACCGTGCAACTCAGCCAGGCTGTGCAGCACAGCACAGCTCAGAACACATTTTAGTGACATATCAAGACCTGATGGTGTATTCCATTCAAAAGTCTCCAAGTTTAAAGAAGGAACGATCAATGGGAGCGGCCGCTGAAAGTGGAATTTTGCCTCAGAAAAATGGCTGTCTTGTGCATGAAAAGTAGAAATAGCAAAAGCATTTAACCATTTCCTTTCACTTCTGAGCTTTCACACGTTCTCTTCTTACCTTTGTAAGGAAACATGTTAGTATTTGAATGCATAAAAATTACATTAAAATGAGCCCCACCATGGTGCCAACATGCCCGTGTAGAACGAATGTGCACCAGAAGAAACCTAACTGCCATACTGGATGCAAAGCAGGTCATTGAATCCAGCTAAATGTAAATAACTACTTCATTGTACCTGCACACAAGAATGGTGTCCTTCTAATTCTGACAAGCAGAACATTTTATTACATTTTGGTTACAAAAACTTAAAAAAGCTGGAAGAATGTACAATTTATTACACATTTATCCCAACAGGGATAAAAAATATACTACAAAGAAATTTTAATAAAGTATCTTTGATTTGATTTGAAACTTGTTCCAACAGTTTAAATATTCTGCAGCCTGGCAGCTCCTAGTTGCAAATATCCAAAGTTTCACCAACTTAACCAGATACTTTCATTTCCTTTTGCAGAACACATCTTCCTGCTACTGAAATGAACCGCTGCTTTAACACATTTCAGCTGCTCCAGGTCCTGTGTTCAGACCTCACAGTCTCAGGTACGCCACCTGTTAGAACAAAAGAAAAGACAAAATAGTTAAAAAAATAAAATAAAATAAAACAGGCAGAAGTTCAGCGATACTCTAATGTATAAGAATACAGGAGAGCAACAATAAAACAGCATGAATGATAACCTGAGCACACAATGGCACTAACTAAATGGGTTTTCTACACTCTGCTCTTCGGGAGAGCAACGTAGTATCTGCATTTTCTATCTTCCGACATTAAACACAGAGTTGGTTGAGATTAAATCAACTTCCAAAGCACACATTCAGATAAACAAGGCAGAGAAACAAATCAGCTCAGCCTGCCTGCTCCCCGCCTCCATCTGCTCTTCCTGGGTGTTTGCCTGCTGCTCATGATGGCTGTGCTGCGCTGAGGGCTCTAGATCAGGATGATGGATGAGGGCATTTGCCTCACTCAAGGCCCTGTCTTCTCCATTCCCCATGCCAATGTCTGCTCAGTAATCAAGTGCATCAATGGTAACTCCTAAAAATGATACCAAAGAGTCCAAAAGGACAAAAAACAAGAGTGATGGGAGTCAGGACGGGGTCCCGATCATTTATAACACATGGCATTTATTGAGAAATATTTTTTTTAGACTTGATCCATCATAGACTTGTTCAAGGCTATGCTTGGAGGCTCTAGATTCAGAAGGGAAACCCTGGCAACACCAACCAGCTCTTCCTGAGTTATTTCTGGCTCTGCCTCGGTGCAGCAGGATTTGTCCAGAACACCTAAGCAGGAGAACCCTGATCAGATGCTCAAACCATCTCAGAGAAGGACCAGCAGCTTTACTCCAATCTAGCCCTGGATGATGGAGCTCCTCATCTTATCTCTGATAATGAACCTGTATACCTACCAAGGAAAGACCACTTTAGCTATAGAATTCAGAATCTCGTTCTCTAGATCCAGATCTCATGAAGTTAGAAGTTCCCATTAGTCATCAATCGCTGGTGAAATTATTTCTCTGCTTTTGACCCATCCCCGTGGGGAGTGGTGAGCTGCACAGATGGCAGCAAGGAAACCTGAAGTTTTTGACAAACCAAATAGAGCCCTTCACCCATTTGGCCAATCGGGTGGGCTCTTATAGGTTAGATGCCCACCCCCTAGTTGGAGGGCACTTAATTTGAATGGTTAGCAAACACCTGAGTTATTAAAACATCAATGAGCCCTGCAAGGGCCAACAAAGGTATATATAAAAACATAAAATCAAGGGATAAAGATATGGGTAAAACAGCAGAATAAACTAAATAAAAGATAGCTCAATTATCTAAAAATATAGCTAAAACACACGCTAGGGAACACCACAGTATGAAGTGAGTCTTCATACCACTTTTAAAAACAGGCAGTAATGGTGCTTGTCAGACCTGGAGAGGAAGGTCACAGCTTAGGGGCCATGACCGAGAAAGGCAAAGAGGGCAAACAAAGACAAACAATCAATGATGAACATGAGTCAGCTTCCAGACCTGCAGAAAAGGGACACACAACAATACAACAGAGCAAGCTATCACTGCATCAACTTGATGAGGAAATATAAAATCAACATTGTTTTACTGAAAAGTCACACGATAATAAATCACAGTGCATTTAGTGCCAACCACAGCCTTAAGACATGTGTTGAACGTGCCCAAGTCCATACTTATGAGAGCACCATGTGAGCACCTGTGTGTGTATGTAAGGTGTCTCTATAGGAGCATCCAATAGAGAGTGTGAGGGGCAACAGAGCTCCCCCACTGGCCCCAATAGGCACCTCTGTTGCCAAAATGCCACCCAGGGCATGGAGACCCCAGCCCATCTTGCCAGGGCCCAAAGCAGCAGCACCGCAGAGCCCCATGGAATCCGAGGGCACCAACCCAGCCCCACCCCAGCAGAATATCTACTCCCATCCCTGCATTTGCACAACTTCCAGAATATATAAGACATAGGACATCCAAGTAAGGTTGGGACATCCCCCTGCCCTGTGATGGGACAGCAGAGGAGCCAAGATCTACCTGAGGCCCCTGAGCCTGGGCCAGGCACTGCCGCATGTTCCTGCCTTCTTCTCGGCAGCATACATGTCAGGACACAACCCCCAAGGCCCCGCCCAGATCCCCATACGGAGATGGCCACCACCACACCCCGAGCCCCCAGGCCCCCACCCAGACCTGTCCAGGGGCAATGCAGCTGCCAGGCAGCAACCCATGACCACCGCCAAGACCCCCAAAGGGCCCCACTCACAACCACCAGTAGTCCACCCCCCAAGGCAACCCAAGCACCTCCAGAGTGGGGCAGCAGCCCCCCAGTTGCAGACACCCCCCAGTGAACCCACCTCCAGGAAAAGTCCGGATACTCCAAACTCAGACCCTCCACCCCATCACCCACATCATCCCACAGGATAATATCATCGACCCCCCATCATCGCTATGTGATGGAACTGATCAAAGAAGACCAAAGAGATTGACTTGAAGTGGAAGCAGAGGCTGTATCAAGTGTAATATGATCTAACAAAAGATTTCTATACTGGTTAATGCAAAGAGTTTCTCTATTTTTCCAATTCATGAGGATAGTTTTCTTAGCGATGCATATGGCAGTCAGAACCACGTGAACCAATGGTGTTTGAATCGAGACATTGTCCAGGTTTCCCAGTAAACAAAGAGAGGGGGAAGTTGGGATATGACATTTCAGACACTTTGACAGGTCTTCACATACTCTGCCCCAAAATTCCTGGACAGGTGGACAGGACCACAGCGCGTGGATGTAATTGTCAGGAATGTTGTTTGTGCTGTGTGTACAGGTGTCAGATGACACAACCCCTATCCTGAACATCCAATGACCTGTATAGTGTACTCTGTGTAGAATTTTGTACTGAATTAATTGTAAATTGGGGTGTCTGATCATTTTAAAAGTTTTTTAAACAAGTTTGGGACCAGAAGTTCTGGTCGATTCTGACTGATAATTTCATCTCCCGTTTACCGTCACTTGAGTTTGGCCCGCAACTTCGTCCCAGTTTTTCATTTTGGCCCAGTGTGAATTTGAGTTTGACACCCCTGAGCTAGGTGCATGTGAAGGGTTACTGTATGACCACTCTGCCACCCATGACTAAAGATGCTTTTGGCACCATGTTTGTTTGAGGTTACTTTTCTTGTTTTCTTCTGCACTCATCTCTCACAGGTGTGGTGTTACCATGATAACCTCAATAAGCATCTGGCAGCAGCTTTAACATTTCTTTGACTTGTTTTACACTTTGTACACAGTTTATACATTCAAACACAGACCTTTATTCTGAGCTGTAGTGTCTACTAAAGACATCTGTAATTGTCATAATTTCTTCAGAAGCATACTGGTTTAAATTAAATCTAGACAAAATGTTGAAGGTAGGCTATGGTTTCCCCGACTACCGCACATACCAACTCACGTCAGCTGTAACAGTATGACATCTAGTCTGAAAACATCTGTTTTGGCTGAGCTGGCAGCAGCGTCCTGCATGATGAATAACTGGCATGTCTTCAAGGGATAATTGATGGAGCTGAGCCATTATTATAAACATGTATGCCCCCAACCCTCTTCTTCTGATATGAAGAGACCAACAGTCAGCCAAAATGCAGCTATATTAGAACAAAGTAAGACATTTGAGATAATTATTGACAAGTAGAGCTAAAATGCTGAACCAGCTACTTCATGTCTGAGCAGCACCAGGGATGAAAATGCAGCCATGAAAAGCTGGGCACTAACTTCAGGGTCAGTGCACCTTGCTCATGAACAGAAACATTTTCACTTTCGGAGGTGAACAACAATATCTCATGTTTGTCTTTAGCCTCATTTGCATCTAGTTTAGATTTTGGTCCTGATGTGAATGCTGATGTGAAACAGATACTTACTCTGTTAATAAATTATTTTCGAGCAATAGCACACGTGCAGTGAATGAAGATGCTTGTAGTTTATTTAGAAGAATAAAAAACAGTCGGTCCAGCTAAAAAGCAAAGCAGCACAGTTGGTGTTAGTGTGTGCGTGAGTGAGTGAGTGAGTGAGTGAGTGAGTGAGGAGTGAGTGAGTGAGTGAGTGAGTGAGTGAGTGAGTGAGTGAGTGAGTGAGTGAGTGAGTGAGTGAGTGAGTGAGAGAGATGATTCACCTCGTCGGCTCTAACGGGTTCAGTTTCTGTCTAATGTACAGGCTGACTCTGGGAGTTACGAGGGCATTAATGAAGGGAGTGTGTGTGTGTGTGTATGTGCGCGTGCGTGCGTGTGTGTGTGCGTGCGTGAGAGAGAGACAGAGGCTTGGTATTCACCTGGCCAAAAGTGTGAGATTCTTGAACTTCTTTACAGCCCATTACACTCACAAAGCCGATGATGGAGAGAGGAGAACACAGCAGCTCAGACATTCCACAGGCAGCATAATAACAGGTGGGCATATAACTCACACTTTGATCCACTCACAGGGACTGGATTTAAGGAACACACACCCAGCTCAATGCCATACCCTGCAGGTATGGTTACAGCTCTTAAGTAAGGGGTGGTCACTGCAAAAACAAGTCTGGAGTGAAACAGACAAATTCATGATCAGATGTTTCCAATGTGACTAAAATAATCAAAAATAGAGCTGAACGATCTATCGTATTTGGACCGAAATTGCGATTTCAAACAGCACGATCACGTGACTGTCAAAGCTGTGGTTTTAGCGGTTTTGACTGATCCAGGATCAGTTGTGTGACTTTTTTTTGACATCCGGGGTTTTCCCCCGTGTTATGGTGGTGGCAAAAGCCAGCGCAGGGGAGGGGGTGGGGTGTACTGTCCAGAGCCGAGCCCAACTCCACAGCTGACAGAGCTGCATGTTCGGGTTATTTTCTCTGTTTTATGTTTCCACACAGCGCCGCTAGAGCCGATAATAATGGCACCGTAGGTGAGCCTGGGGCAGATAGAGAGACTTCTCCCACATCGGAACAGGTTCAGGCTGATTTCTAAAGCTTGGTTTATGCTTCATCAGCGCGAGTTTTAGTTGGCTTGAAAGCTCAACTTCTCTTTTAAAAATGGGTTTGAATGTTTCTGATGGCACACATTAGTTCAAACAAGCTAACTTGTCAGAATGGACGTCTAAATTTGCAGAGACATACTACATACCATAAGACTAAAGTATTTTTTAAGAAGAGGACTTTAAAAATGCTGCTTATGTTGTACAGATAAAAAACAGCTATGATGATCAGTCTGAAACAATTATTTTAGGGAAATTCTTAAATATAAAGGAAAATCATGACAGATAGAAAATTAAAGTGTTCCTGGTTCAATCTCATTATTCATCTGGTGCATTTCTAAATAGTTGACCTACTTTCTATAGTTTTATCTCAGCCAGCCAAGCCACAGGTAAGTATCAATGTATGCTTGATGTTAAATGACTTCATAGGCCTTTTAAAGTAGAGTTTTTACATAATATTTCTTAAGAGAACAGAAGCAAAAGATCTGAATCTGTCTGCCTACGGTTTTCGGGTTGAGATCAGAAGCCATAAAAACTCATTTAGTAAATGATCAGTTGAAGGACTGAAGATGCAGATGATGTTCATGTGTGTTCATGAAAATTCAAACGCAGCTCGTGTTTTTCAGCACTTTGGAAGCTTGTTTAAACAGTAGGAGTTACTTCCCAAACTTTCCGAGCATGAAGATAAGAATATTATGGCTAATTACCCCCGTTACCATGCTTAAAACGGCTGAAAGAATAGAACCGTCAGCAAAGTGAACACCTCCTATTATCTAGTCAAAGGGTTCTCCTTTGCAAGTCAGACAACTAGACATATTTTGCAGGTAATGAAAAGCTGGGAAAGAAAATAAACCTTACATTTTACCTCCAGCAAGACTGGAAACTGAAAGCACTAAAAGATAAAATGTATTCAATCGGGATGAAAATACTGTCTGGAACTACTTAGTAGCAGAAAACAAGGTGATTTGAGTCAAACCTGAGAAAACGAGCGATAGCTTTCAGCTAAAAAACACCTCACTGCGCTGATAATAGTCTTTCACAAAGGGCTGAGATCAATAAAAACACTTGAAGCACTTCTTTTAAAGTTATACACAGAATCAGCAAAAGAACTTCTGAAAGGATAAAGAAATCTGTGACTACAACCAGATCTAAATCATTATGAGAAGCAAACTGTCTCACCTCGTAGGACCTCATGCAGCGCATCGAGGCAGGAAGGGTGGAGTTGCTGTCATCCATCACTTGCAGCAGTTCCTCACACACTTTTAGCGGGAGGACCACTGGGTGTCCTATAGCATTGACCTCCCAACAAGCAGCAATCCTGAAAACACACACACACACACACACACACACACACACACACACACACACACACACACACACACACACACACACACACACACACACAGTATAGGGGAGATTTATTATGAGCACCAGAGTGTTACACAATCAAGGTGAAGCACAAGTCTTACACTTAAAGCTGCAATGGCAAATTTGGAAAACTAATTAGTTCCCTTTCAGTTGATTCACTTGGTACAATGAAGGTACTATGGGACATCACGCCCTCGTGTGGCCGAAGACACATCTAATCACGCCTGTAAGGCAAATGAACATGACGCTGTGTGGAGGTCCCACCCTCCACTTATAGGCACCTGTCACTCCTCAGTTCTTACGCTCTTCGCCTCACTGAGAACACACATAAAAAATAGCTATGCTACTGAAAGATAGCTTAACCGCTCGCTGGCTGTACTCTACTGCCTTCTGGCTAGCGCTTTTTTCCCACCGAGAGCTATCTTTCGTGGTAGGGTTGGGACTCTCCTCACTTCATTGCGTGCAGCCGCTTGGAGCAGTGCTTATCACCTCCGTTTGGACAGGGGAGGGAGATAATGGGTTAGAGGGCACATTGACTCCTAGATACGGTTCCATGGCCTTCACCGGTCACAGTCCCGCCCAGGCTGAGATAGGAAGAAAGAGTTTCCATAGCAACAACAGCATTCCACATTTCTTCTGAGGGGAGTTTACACTTCAGCCTCACAGGCTCCAAGGACACCAGATTCAGATAAAAATTGTTTTGGGGACAGACACAGCTAATTTCCTCTCTGCCTTATGTTGGTCTTCAACCCCTCTAGAACCAACAATGGCGTAATTAATCTATCCCAATATGTGCTGACCCGTCAACTCGCTCCTTGATGGAATCCACCTTCTGTGCCAGAGCCTGAATCTCAGCCAAAGTTCCAAGCTTATGACTCATCTCGACAATTATATGAGTTTGTGCGTTCACAGCACAATGCATTCCATCCCTGAGCTCCGGGATTGAGCCAATATTCCTCAAAAGCTCGTTAATTTTCCAGTAAGCCAGGTAACCGCTCAGGCCAAGCAGCAGGAATCCCGACACCAAAACAACGAATATCCAAACATCTTCAGAATCCTCTACAGACAGTTGAGAGAGGCATATCATGTTCCACTGTTTCTGGGAGTCCATGATATACCCAGCTGGCTCTGTCCCAGAGGGGCATCCAGGAGCCCCTTCTCCTGTTCTCATCGGTGAAAAAATTTTGTCAATCGCATTGAGAAACCAACTAACCAGATCCATTTTTAATAATTTCCAGTTTCCAGAAAAAATGCAGAAAGCGCCGTGCACACAAAGACAGGACAAAGAGCCTTGGGATGAGGAGGGAGGGAGAGGAGAAAAAAAGCGTCTGTACTCTCCAAGAGCAGGAAGAATATTGCTTATGAGTGGACGGCGGGGCCTCCACACAGCGGCGTGGTTCATTTGCCTTACAGGTAGGGCTGAACGATCTATCGTTTTTGGACCGAGATTGTGATTTCAAACAGCACGATCACGTGACCATGAATGCTGTGGTTTTAGCAGTTTTGATTGATCCAGGATCTGTTGTGTAACTTTTTTTTTTTACATCCAGGGTTTTCCCCCTGTGTTACGGCTGCGGCAAAAGCCAGTGCGGGGGGGGGTGGAGTGTACCGACCAGAGCCGAGCCCAACTCCACAGCTGTGTCAGAGTGTCTCTTTCAATGTGTGCGTCTCTGTCACGGAGCTGACGTTTTAGTGAGGAAAAACTATCAGACGGCTTCGAAAAGCGTGCAGCCAGCCTGCCTTGGTAATGCAGGGAAAACTGTGTGCATGTTGTGTAATTTAATACATTTAAAAGCAATTTCTACCTTCAGATTTCCTCCTTGCATTTTTGGAGTAGAACAAGAGCATGTTTTTATAAAACTCCTCCTTAGATAAAAATCACATGCACATGTTGCTTCACAAACACATAAAAGATAATAATGGGAGAAAATAGTAATAGCTTTAACAATTTTATTGCATGATTAAATAGTAAATATTAATGTGAATGATTTGTTGTACTAGATTAGAATCTAGACCATCTTTTCACTTAATCTACAGGATGGCTTGGCAGGCTAATGTTGGTCGTTTGTTTGCAGAAAATCGTGAATTGAACCAAAATCGCAATTTCTGCTAGAAAAATAGCAATTCAATCTTTTCCTAAAATCGTTCAGCCCTAGCGTGCAGGTTGGATCACAGCAGACCCATCTCACCCTGGACACAGTCTTTTCAACTTGCTCCCATCTGGCAGGAGGCTCTGATCCATTCGGACCAGAACCTCTCTCCACAAGAACAGTTTCCTACCCGCTGCAGTTGTTCTCTTGAATGACAATCGTAGGACTGCCCACTCCAGTTGCTTTGTGCCAGTCACTTGACCCTGTGTTGTGTTTGCACCTGACTGTTCCACTCTGAACTCTAATGATTGCCTCTCTATATTATTATTTTATTGTGCTTACTTCTTGTTTCTGCTCATCTCTAGTTTGTTGCACCAAGTACCACAGCAATATCTTAATGTTGTGATTTCTCACACATATGGCAATAAAACTTGTCTGATTCTGATAGCAAATTTCACCATGACTACGTCTCAAACAACTCAGCAGCATACCTTTATGTGTGACTACTTGTATAAGAATAAAATCCCATCTCAACATTGTGTTTTTCTGGATGCATTTGATGTGTTGGTTTTTTCCATTGTACTGGACAGTGGTGGTGCCTGCAACTTTCACTCAACCTTAATCAAACCACTGCCATTAGTGACAAGCATAATCCACTTAGCCAATGGCTCACTGATTCCCCAGCCAATTATTGGTTTTTAAACAACACATACAGTAACCTACAAGTGCAGTCCACTGCAACCGACTGCATCCTGAAAACGGGAGGCAGTGGACACCTGGGAGTTCAGTTCCTGAGGCGTAACATTTAATTTAAACTGTCAGAGGTGAGTGATGAAGGATGCTAGTAAATTATGTAGAGGGAAATTGGAAGTGTGGGTAACTGCAGGGAAAAATGTCAAGAAAAGAAGTCGACTTAAAAAGGACTTGGTTTGAGACACACTGATGTGATGTGGATCAGTCTAATGAAAGTGGTATTCTGTTTACCTGAAGCAGAGACTAAAAATATGCAATAAAAATGATTATACTAGTTATTCACGTCATTTTAATCTCACTCAACATTTTCCCTGATCACATCAATTGTGGCATAAGAAGAGGTTGGCTATTTTCAACACAACCCCTTTAACTTTGAATAAAGGATTTTAAATATGTAAAAATATCAATAGAAAATGGCATTAGGCCTAATTATAGTTATAATAATGTGATGTAGTTCAATGAATCTGTCAGGACTCAGGTATCTCCCGGCTGACCTTCGGACCACAACTCCCGACATGCCCCTCGTGGGGAGCTCCCAGCGTGCTCCTCGCGGGGATTCCCTCCACGTCACAGCCAAGCAAGGCTATATATGGAAGACGCCGTGACCGGCTTCTCATCTCAGTCATCGTTTCTTCCTCACAGAGAAATAATAAAACTGTTAAACGTCTCACCTTGTTCGTCTCCTTCATCCAGTCTGATCAGCCTGACAGGATGACTGAGATCCGAGTAGATTCGACGGAGATCGATCGTCTCCGCCACGAGAACGTGCAGCTGCGTTCCATGGTAGATCAGCTCAACACCAAGCTGAACTCCTTGTCCGACCACACCCTGCGTCTATCCACGGCTCTCACGGCTCTCCAACAACAGGCAAACGATCAGCAGCAACAGATCGCTGCATTCCAGCAGCCAACCCGCTCTGCTCCTAGGGAGGAGCCCCACTTCAGCCTGCCGGAGAGGTGGACCGGGGAGACGGGGAGACCCGATGGTCTGCTCGCCACGCTGGACATGCAGTTCGAGTGCCAACCTGGACGCTACCCATCTGCGCGCTCCCGAGTGGCGCATCTCACCTCCCTGCTCTCCGGACGCGCCGCGGAGTGGGCTGCTGCGCTTTACAATTCCAAATCCCCTGCCTGCAACGACTATGCTGCGTTTGTGTCCGCTCTCTGGAAGACCTTTGTTCCCCCCAGCAGCGAAGTGGGAGCAGAGACACGCCTTCTCAAACTCCGCCAGCGAGAACGCTCGGTGTGCGCTTATGCGTCGGAGTTTCGCACCATCTCCGCCAAGCTGCAGTGGAATGACTCCGCTCTGCGGGCCACCTTCCTGGAGGGGCTGGCACCCTACATCCGTGATGAGTTGGCGGGAAGGGAGCTGCCTCAGACCCTGGATGAGGTGGTTGATCTGGCGCTGCGCATCGACCAGCGGGTTCTGGTTCGACCCAAGTTATCCACGCGTCCACCCAGGACGCCGGTGCTTCGCCCTCGTTCACCCACGCCAGCTCCTGTACCCATGCTGGCGGAGGAGCCCATGCAGCTCGGCCACCTTCCCCCCAAGGAGAGACAACGACGGTGGCGCGAGGGCCTCTGTGCCTACTGTGGCTCTCCCGACCACCGACGCCTGGACTGCCCACTACGATCGGGAAACGGGGGGCCCCACTGAGTATTGGGGTTGCTCAGTCTGGGTCTTCTTCTACCCCTGTCGCTACTAACCGTCTCCTTATTCCTGTCACCCTCCTCCATGGTGAGGCCTCACTCCACGTAAACGCATTGGTGGACTCGGGGGCCGCGGACAATTTCATGGACCTAGATCTGGCAAAACGCCTACGGATCCCCCTACAACCCCTGGAGAGAGTTATACCAGTGACCTCGGTGGACGGTAGGCCTCTCCAACCCTACCCAGTCCGAGACCGAACCCAGTCACTCCGTATGATCACCCAAGGCCACCAGGAGACCCACCATTTCCTGGTCATTTCTGCTCCCTCTTCTCCTCTAATCCTGGGGTTCCCCTGGCTCCGTCTCCACGACCCTCATATTTCCTGGTCCCAGAACCGCCTGCTGGGCTGGGGGACCTCGTGCCAGACCCACCTCGTTCCTCCTCCATCCTCGGCGGG